TTAGCTGCATTTCCATTGCAAATGTGCGCAAAACTTTGTCGATATTCTGTTAATGTCGAAAAAACATAGTTTCGCAATTGCGTTGTTTCCATTAAGTAAGAAATGCTATTAAAGTCTCGCGTGAATACGTTTTGTTCTCGCGATAAGTAGTTACAAACATGGGGGCAATGTATGTAAACTCATAGCATATTGCTACCACAACACTAGCGCTCGTCATCAGAGGAGACGTCGGCGTCGTATCGAGCCTTTCGAGTGACAAGCCCCTTATACTTGGGAGCGGCTACGTATGCTGTGTTTTTGGGAAAATGTAGTCGTGAGTTTAGTACTTTCTTTTACTACTTCGGTGATTTCACTACTACTTTTACTTCCTGTTATCTTCTTCTTTGTCTTCTTTTTCGCCAATAGAAACAGCCGGTTCTTGATCACGTGACTCCCGTGATGCGAAAAAAGTTTCCATTGCAGTTTTGCGAAATACACCAATTTCGATACGGCCGAAAAACCACCTCTTCCTAGCGCAAAAACATTTAGTCAAAAAATGTAATTTTTTTCGAAATTGACTTGTTTCCTTTTGAGCAAATTTATTTTCGAAATTCTAATTTGCGCATTTTCATGGTTAATGGAAACACAGCTAGTGTTTCAATAAACAAAGACCAGAGAGTTTTCTTTGTTAAAGAGTTCCCCTTTGATGTCACTTCCTGTTTCACTTTAGCTGAGTGAAGTTCAAAAGAAAATATGCCATTTATGGATCAAAGTGGGTTAAATTGTGTGAATTATTCCAACTTTCTTAAATATAAAGATGTTTTCTTTGACTTTTTGTATTTGAAGAATATGCATGTCAAATTCTGCTTTCTTGCGAGGCACGAACAGGTGAAGTCTGTAAAGGTGCAACATCACTTTAGAGATCATAAAGGTGATTCGGTGAACATGAGCAGATGGGCGGACGCTCCGCCTCGTACAGCTGTGGCCAAACCGGTTCTTTCCCACGGCACTTTGTATGTTTTGTGTTTAGGGTGTAAAGGGCGTGGCAGTCGCATGCWAGAACTGTCCACATGCAAGGCCACACAGCAGCTGGCAAATAAAGATGAATTCTGTTGTGTTTGGCAGCGGTTCTCTGTTCATTATTTTCCACTTTGCCCAGCGCGCATCCCAGCCCTCAGCAGCTGCTTGTCATGTAAAGACACTCTATCAGGCCCTGACAGCTCCTCCCATGCACACACACCGTGCACATGGCTCATACACACTTGACTCCTGCCCGCACACTCCCCTCCGCTCGCAGTCGTACATATGTAGGGAACATATGTAGTGATCTGTCTCACTAGCACTCCGTTCGGCACAGCTCTCCGCACAAAGCTTTTTCATCCCCTCCAGTTCTCTCATCGCTCAACTTGAGTCAAATCAGTCATTTTATGCTTCTGTCCTTCCTCTAATGTTGTTGAGCTGAGCCACATGTCTGCAGTGAAACTTTTTGTTTTGTTTTCAAAGAAAACCGTTGATTCTGTGACACGGAGAACCACACTTGCTGTAGGTTTTATCTTATCTAGGTTGTGGTCAGTCTGTCTGTGGGCCATTTTCCTGTTTTGGAGAACATTTTGACATCAAACAGGGTTCAGTTTACTGGAACGCTGTGATGATGATCTGACTTAAAAGCAGAAAGCTCTGTTGTGTTCTTAGAGGCCCATTGTCCTTTGTCAGCTGTTTACGCTGCTTTGCTCACTATACAGGATGTATTTCAGGTCTACTTTGCAAAACACTGAAGTTCTGTGAAAGTTAAAAGTAGCTTTCTCTGACTTTTTTTATATAAAAGTTTTTGATTGTGTTTGCTATTATTTGTTTTTAACACCCCTTTCACAACTCCTGCTCAGTTGCCTGTCCAGTAAACCAGTTTTGCAATAACTGATGAATATGTCTTTATAGTAATTTGATTTAAATCATTTATCATTTCCAAAGCTGTGTTGTACTGTTTTTGACATCCTTCTGTTCCAGTCTAAACAACTAGATTACCTTTTTGTGATCCTCAACGTCGAACCAGCATTGCAACTCTACCTCCCCCAACAAGAATTGCAGTCGCTCCTTTTGCAAGATGTTTTGCATTCGTTTGTCACCGAGTGCATGTCTGTAACCACAGTTTCTTTCCTTAACTTTGTTTACATGAACTGTATAAAGATGCAAAAAAACAAAAAAAAGTCCAGCTGTCAGTTTCACTTTCACATCGTGTCAGYGCTTAAGAAAAGCCGCTGTGTGGAAAGTACAGCTGAATAAAAGTAGAAGAGGAAATGAGTGTAAATGGGAAGCTTACAAGGGTCATCTTTGTTGTTTATGCTCTAAGTGCAGTCTGTGTGTGTCTGTGTGTGTGTTGCGCTGCTCAGCGGTGGAGACGCACTCGCAGACAACCGGATATAGCCGTTTCCACTGTTGTCATGTGACCATGTTTGCGGTCACACATAAGGAAGTTGCAACGTCCTCCCGTCTAAATGAGTCTGCACTGGTTAAAAGTGCAACATGGATGTGTGGAAATAGTGGCGAAAGTTAAATTTTTTTAAGTTTTTTTTTTTTTTTGTCAGTTTGAGTAAAATCGTTGCTCAAAATCCTTCATCAAGTAACACTTCATGTCAAAATTCAGCATGGTGACATTACTTGGAAGACTCAAGTGACTGGGAATGCTGGGCTTGTGTTTTCATCTCCCTGACATCCATGGGATCAAGGCCACCTCAGTGTCTCCAAATGCAGAACACGCCAAGCCTTGAGCTGCAGCGTCACGCATTACCTCCCATGCTGCTTCTCTGGTGGGAGCCATGCGTCAGCGGAGCTGGCAGGGAAAAGCTCCCTCAACCTTTCAGACTGCACGTCGACGCAATCGCTAACACACATGTGTTTTTATTGCCTGCGAGTTGACGAATAAACGCGCATCTATTTGCACACAAGCACTGGAGCTTTTCACAAATACCTGTCGGTCAGGATTTGAATCCTGCAGTGTGTGCACGAGTAAATTCCCCAGTCTGGAAGTGATTTGCTGCATTCTTACTTCTAAACCAAAACTTCTCAGCAGAAACTTTTTTTTTTGTCTCGTTTGCGTCGGTGAGATGCGCTCTCGTTTTGTTGTCGCGGTGTCAGGTAGGGGGCTCATTATGTCGTCTCTGCATTGTGCACATACTGTCCTCAGTGGGCGATGGTGGGGGGGTGAGGGGTATGGGTCAGCCAAAACCTGACCACAGAACATGTCACCAGCTGGGGCCCAGTTGAGGAAAAAAAACAGACTCAACACTAAAGGTCGCGAAGAGTTTATGGTCATACGAAGATTCAGGTGTCGGTTTTTAAAATGCCCCTCGTGTGTACTTTGATTTAATTAATGTTGCAAGTCCAAACAGCTTTGTATCAAACAGGAAGCTGAAAGGCTTTTAAGGCTTGTGGTAAATAATCTGGTCCATGTTGATTCTTTAAAGATCATCATATGTAGGTGACTAATGTGGAAGCTGAAAGCTCAAGTCCTTGATATAAAAAAGCTAAAGATCTTTGCTATTGCGTTAGGTAGCTCATTTACCTTTAACTGAAAGACCATCTAACTGCTGACAAAGACGTGCTGATTTCTAAATTAGTAGTTGTTTTATGTGAAAATAATGACTCTGTAGAAAACAAGTTTGTGAAGCTCATTTGTGCTGTGATGTACCGACACAACTGGAAAATTATGTACAAGCATCTCATTTTATAAGACTTCATCTTGCTGCGTGAGAATAACTTTATCTAAACGACTTGCTTTCAAAATATCTGTTTAATCTCTCCCTCTCCTGGAACTGGAAAGCCAAATTGCAGATATCTTGTTAGAATTTACTACTTGTACCACTTCATGATGAAAAAACAAAGTGTTTAAGTGAAACAAGAAAAGATGTTTGGGGGTAACCAAAACAACACATCCTATATTGTGATAAGGTTGTGTAATTCATGTGATTTTGTAAAAACAAGAAATGTAGGAACCTGCTTTACACAAGCTGCAGATGTTTTTGTACTGTTTGGTCTGTTATCAGTTTCATCAATCAGAAGTGTGTTTTTGAAGAGTGTAGCAGAAGCTCATATTGACAGATCTTCCACATCTCTTGCAYGTCTCTTGCACGCGAAATGCCACACTCCTGCGTTGGAGGAAATGGAGCAATTAAGGACAGCTTGGCGCTTCTCTGCAGGGGGTTAATATGTGGCTTCGTAATTAAAAATAAATTACAGTTTTCCTGTATAAATATTCAAGTTCCACACCATTGTGTGCCACTGCCTTGTTATGGTGGTATGTAAGCCTTTCTTCTTCTTCTTTTTTTTTTTTCTGCCCCGTCTGTGCAACATCTGGCGCAACATTTCCTGAAGCATCACTGAAATAAATTGAGTTTTGTCTGCCTTCAGAGAAATTCATTTGTGCGATGCAAGTGCAGTGTGTCTAAGTGATTAGGATGAGCACGCATGCTTGAGGTTATAGCAGGTGTCTAAAAGAAGTGTGGGATGTTTTGTTTAGAAATTGAATTGATAGAAAAAAAATACACATTTTTTGGAAATTGTAGAGGACATTGGAAACATTTTTGTTGCTCTTAAAAATCAACTGATTATTAGTTTTTTTATAGTAATACTTTTATGAAAAACTGCTTTTGGTTTTGTTGTGCCATCTTCACCAGAACTCCCTAAAATAGAGATCTCATACCACAATAATACAGYCCTGGTTAAACAAATAAAGACCTTTTTTAAAGTTTAGGTGAAAAATATACATTTGTACTTTCTTTGTACTATATTGTCCAAAGTGCATCATTTTTTTTAAACCTTGAGGAATAAGGTGTTTTARTTTTAGCTAAAACCAACATTTGTCTTACAGCTGACTTATACTTTAAAAAATAAAAGTAGATAATCAAGAGCAACAAGGTGCATGTTTGACCATTAATCGTAAAACTTGTACATTTTTGAGGGTGTGAAAATGAACATTTTTCAGTTWAAAAAAAAGACAGTATTTTTCTCTYTTCTTTCCATATMAGGAGAATACATCAAGACCTGGAGGCCAAGGTATTTTCTGCTGAAGAGTGATGGTACATTTATCGGTTACAAAGAACGACCACAAGATGTTGACCAGCTGGAAACCCCCTTAAATAACTTCTCTGTAGCACGTGAGTATCTACATCAGAGGAACCACTTTTCTTCCTCCTAGTTTCTTGGCAGCTTGCTTTACTTTTTCTTTTTYAAGTTTAGATCCGTTTTTATTTACTTTTTTTAGCAATTACTTAAAAAGCACGACAGCTGTGAGCTATTAGTTGGAAAACACAGTCAGACCTCAGCTTGGCTTACCAAGTTCACATCTGGTAACAAAAGGACAAAAAAGAAAATGTTTTACACCTTTTTCTTTTCTTCTATTTTAATGTTGATGTCAGGTGCTTTCTTAAATTTTTCTTTCCCTAAATAAATCATTGTCACGGTGGTCCTCCATTGTGCTTTAGAAGTGAAGGTTTAGTTTTCTGTCTCACGTTTGGAACCAGGTTCTCACTCTGAGGTTTTGTAAACAAAAACAATGTTTCTAGAGCATTAATACCTGCTTGCCTTCTGTTTGTTGTTGGACCAATGTCTCTATCAGATCTTTGTGATGTACATGATTCTACTTTCACAAGAAATCTTAATTTGACATCTATGAATTAAATTAATAGATGTCAAATTAATAAATTTACAGCAAAAGTTTATATAATCAAGATATCAAGATTTTTATAATATCAAGCTCATTCATATTTTTTTTTGTCTCAAAAACTCAACACGTAGGAACCACACAAGGGGAGTAGAAGACGTTATGACATTTGTTGTGTCTTGGTGCTATATAAACTGAATTGAAGCTACAACAACAACTCTCTAGGGAGTCTGTTTTGTAAAGTGAGCATGTTCAGTAGGGTTGGGCAATATTGGCAAAAAAATAAATCACGATTAATTGTGGTATTTAGCTGATAACGATTAATTTGACGATTAATCCCCTGGAGTCCCTGGACACCCTTATTTGTCCAGGGGTGATGGCAAAATGATCACGATTAGTTTTGTCCATGACCAATTTAGTGGGAAAGATTTGCTCTTCATAAAAGTCTGTTCCAAATTGTGTCAAAATTACAGACTTCAGGCTATACATCAAATTTTAAATTGTGTTGATAGATAAATAAGTTACAGAACTTTTTTTAATGTTCGTCATATTTGAACCTGAGAGGAGCAGCGAGYGGATTCTACCTGTTGGCATTAATCGTATTAATTGTCAAGAGCCAAAAATTGATTGTTTTTCTGACGATTAATCACACACGATACGATTATGCCCAACCTTAATGTTCAGTTGATGTGTCATAACAAATGTCATCATGTACATCATACAACAAACAATCTAAGGAAGCCAGCTGATTGCGGTTGAATCACTGTCACAGTCTCTCATCCTGAGTAGCACATTGGCAACAGTGGAGAGGAAAAACTCCCCTTTAACGAGAAGAAACCTCCTGCAGAACCATGTTCAGGACATGACATGAAAGCTCCAGCTAAGGTTTTATTTTAAAAGATAAAGCTGCTGGTAGTATGGCTGTGTATTGCCAAGAAATTGGTGATATGATACATATCACGACACGGGTCACGCTGTGATATATCGCGATATATTACGATATTGTAAGCAAGGTGATATATTGCCAGTTTTTACTCAAAAAGATTCAAATTGTTTAAAAACTCAGTATAAAGAGAATACATTACATGCATAAAGTCTGATTATTATGACCCCCGCACGCGAAGCGTAAGCGGTAGTCATATTGTTTTCGTACTGTTTATTTTATTTTTTTTCAGTGATTTTTGGTCAGTCGTAGCACAAAAACGACTGCACCAGTCAACATGAAATTTGGCAGGACTGTAGRTGAGTCCGACCTACACTGCGCCAGCCAACGGTTTTACGATAGACCCCATATTTGAGGAGGGGRCTCCTTTCAAAGAGGGGATGTCTGGACATGCAAAATGCTTATAACTCAGAAACTGTTCAACATAGGAGCTTCAGATTTATTTTGTTGTTTAGCTCTGAGGTCAGACCCACCAATCAGTGCCCCCACCACTCCCCGGACCCCCAATTTATCTGAAAAAGGGGTATCTGGACATATAAAAATGGTTATTGCTCAAAAACTATAAAACATAGGAGCTTCAGCTCAGCTATTAAAAATAGTGCTTTTGAGAATTATACACTATCAGGAAATGAAATATTTTAATATTTGAGTGTATAGATATTTTCTTAGGCCCCTAGCTGTGGAATGTTTACTTGAAAACTGGACTTCATATAAGATAGATGCAACAACTATCAGTGGGAATACGCTGACAGAAAATTAAGATGTGTAGAAAACTTGCTGCTCACCCTACGTCAGAATAGCAAAGCGTTCCCAGGTGCTTAAAGGGCCAAATTAGTATTGGGGGTCTTCCCTAAAATTGTGACCAAGTAACTCTTCTATGTACAATTACTCCTGTATGCTTTCAGTGATGAGTGGTTGTAGGATTATCTCTCTTGTATTCCTGCACTAAAGCAGGAAAAGAAACGTTGCCACAGAATGCACCTGCTTGATATTTGGCTCTTGAAACTTGTTCATTAGATGCAATCCTCAGTCACTACATGTCTTCCAGACTTCTCATTTATTTTTTAAATTATGTGACAGAAAGTAACAGCAACGAATGCCCAAAGCCATCCAGCTCACTCCATCTTCACATCAGAGAAAGTTGCTGTGCTGATGACTGAGCACAGCAATTAGACAGCACACTGTTTGTTTAACTAAATGTTTCCTCCCCAACGCTTTTGAGTTATTGTAGCCATTAGCCGCCTGATTTTGAGTATTTATCCGGGCTATGTTTTGAGGCGCTTGTCTCCATCTTCATTGGCGCTTTTTATTTTTAATTTTTTGTCACCACCGCAAACCCACCGTTGGAGGACACATGGTGTGTCGCTGCTGACGGTGCGGCTACAGCTGGAATGCATATTCATCGTGATGAAACCATGTTGCATCTCAGTGGTGGTCCAGTCAGAGTCCTCCATCGATCAGAGAGAGGCCATTTTTGTGTCACATCCTGACATATTTGCTGACATGTTCCATTTAGGAGCAGATGTTAATGTGAAGAAGGTGCAGATGGAAATCTTTGCTTTGTAAATTCTGTCTTCTGAGTAATTGTTTTTGGCAAACTGCTTACATAACAATTATTTGCTCCAAATGTGGAAAAAAAGGAGAAGACAATGAAAGAAAAAAGGAAGTGATACTCAAATTATAGAAATCTAGACAGGGATATGAGGGTATATTCTTTTTTTATGTTGAATATTTCAGAATTTTTACATTTTTTAAAATAGTRTGGAATTAAAATTACACAGAAAACTTAGCCCTTTTTGTAGTTTTTTTATATTCCTATCTTTACAAAGAACAGAAAGTAAGGATTTTTTTAAAAAAATCAGCTGCATCACTTTGTTAGAAGTGTATTTTTTTTCAGAAATTACAGTTTGTTTTGTCCCAAATTGAGATCAAACCTTATATTTCCAAGGTTTCATTTTGAGGGAGCTTCAAAATTAAGGATGGGAGTTGTTTTCTTCCACCAAAGTGCACCTGTTCTTTTACAAATTGGCCGACAGTGCCTGTTAGGGTGGCGATAAAGATAAATGGCTGTAACTGTGGGTCTGTCTCTCCCCTCTGTTTCCTACACACTGACTCTTCTCTTCATCTCCYACCCCGCTCTCCCTGGCTGTGGTCAGAGTGCCAGCTGATGAAGACGGAACGGCCCAAGCCCAACACATTTATCATCCGCTGCCTGCAGTGGACCACTGTCATCGAGCGCACCTTCCACGTGGAGACCCCCGAGGAAAGGCAAGCGAGATGCGCACACCTCTGCACGCGGAGCAGTGAAACACAAGCCATTTACATGGACACTGTTTGCCCTTSTCCCTGCACAAATTAAGAGCTCTGTTTTCCCCAACATGTAGAAGTGTATATATATTTAATCATTATTACACTCTTTCACAGGGTCCGCTGGTTATTGGCAGAACTCGCACGTGAAATTGCCTTTCTGTTGATAAGAAGACAATTACGTGATTGGGCTGCTGGGCTTGCATGACGGCAAATGAGCTGATGTAATCTTTCTCTCTCCCCCTCTCTGCTGCCTCCGTCTCTCTTCAGGGAAGAATGGACCAAAGCCATCCAGGCAGTAGCTGAAGGCCTTCACAAACAAGAGGAGGAGATGATGGACTCCTCTCCAGACCCCATGGACATGGAGGTCTACCTGACCAAACCCAGACACAAAGTGGTACTGGCACATTTCCACTCAGATTTTTGTGTCCCTCTTCTTGCTTTTCAACATTTCACCATGCTATAGTTGCACTTYGACAGCTTCCCCTCATTTGCCTTATTTCCCCAAACATCAACCACAGGTAGCTCAACACCAGATGACATGTCCACTAGGGCTGTGTATTGGCAAGAATTTGGCGAAACGATACATATCATGACAGAGGGGTCACAATGCGATATATTGCGTTTTTTTTTGTCCAAACATTTTATTAAATAAAAACCTCTTACTGGTAAAAAATGAAAAATGAAAGCCCAAAGTTCATTGTCTCAGAAAATACTAATATTACATAGACATACTTTTGATACATTTAGGTGTGTTCTGCTTTGTATGTATTTTATTTATTTGTTTCATATTTCTTATTTCATCCATGTTTTCAATTATTAGACTAAATTTGACAATAAATAGTTTGAAAATATATTTTTTGCAGCTTTTAGTTTTTAATATTAATTTCCAATATGGTCACCCAACACCTAATAGCCTTTATGTTGTCATAAAGTTCAGTAAACAGATTATATGAAGCTGCTGCACAGAGTTTCTGGGATCAGCTGACCTGCATCCAGAACATGATTTGCATAACTGTGGGTCGAACAGCAGGGCAGGTCCCGAAAATAAACTGTAAATAAATGGAGAAACTAAACAACACAGTTAAACCGTCTTTGAAGTGAACACAGCAGGATAAACTTCAAGTATATGGACTTTAATGCGATCAGCCGGACATTGAGAGCAACAGACAGTTTTATGTCACGGGGGGATGCCAAGCTCACTCGAGGTGCTACGCATGCGCTATATACATGCCTGCCTGCCTGCCTTGCGTAACGTGAAAGTTGACTACAGTTGGGAAAAATGCGCACGAAACACTTAATTTGGCTTAAAATACAGACATTCTGACAAATAAGTAACTGTTTGTAACCTTACCTCAGCTTAGAAGGCAGAGGGTGTCGGTCTTTTCCGCTCAGATTCAGCTATCGGAGCATGAAGCTAATGTTTACTCACAATGCTAATGCTCCCTTACTCTCTGGCGCTCAAGAGGTAGAGGAGCCAAATGGCTGGCTCACTGCTGCCAACTAGTGGTCAGAGGCTGAACTACAACATAAAAATGAACGGCTGGCAGGAAAGTGGACATTTTAAAACTTAATTAATATTTGATACAGGGTTTTAGAATATTGATACAGTATCGGGAAATGAAATATCGCAATATTTCAGTGTATCGATATTTTCTTACACCACTAATGTCCACAACTCCCCTTCGTTTATCACAACATAAAAGTCCAAAGCTGTGGGGTTGGGTGTCCTCCACACAATTTTAAACATTTTTCCTCGGTGTCAGAGGTTAATTGAGACACAGCTACATACGGTTGAGGTCAAATCATTAGAGAGGTGGAAATTGCTTAGTGGGTAAAACGGTGCCTAAAACCCTTCAATGTTTTTGTCAAAGGGATTGTGTGTCCCAGCTAGTTAGAGCTCGGGTTTGTTAATGCTCCGGTTTGTAACCAGATGCAACTTTGTCTGCTTTGGCCTTCTAGACTATGCACGACTTTGAATACCTCAAACTCCTGGGAAAAGGCACTTTTGGCAAAGTTATTCTGGTAAAGGAGAAGGCCACAGGACGCTACTATGCTATGAAGATCCTAAAGAAGGAGGTGATCGTAGCGAAAGTGAGTGTTTGCCAACAAGCAGAGTGAAAAGGGGGTGAAAAACACTCAGGTTTGAGAGGGCATCAGAGCAATGACTGATACCTAAATAGTTAGCTATTGTAAGACTTACACAAACACTCTTTGTGCTTTTTCTTTCACAGGATGAAGTGGCGCACACACTCACAGAAAACAGAGTCCTCCAGAATTCAAAGCATCCGTTCTTGACTGTAAGGAACCCTGAGTACCTAAACCAGTTTTTAACTGACGGAGATGCTCAGAAACTCCCTCAAATTAACCCAGCAGCTTATATGCAGAAAAGGGATGTTTGAATAGTATTTTTAAACACACTATACTTAGTAATGCTAGCCTTTTTTTTAAAATTCCGTTAACCTATTTTGTGAACCTTGACACTTTGTGTTTTACTGAGTGGCAGGTGAAAGCAACGATTGATGCAAAGTGCTCAGAACTGGTCCTATTTAATATTGTTCCAAGCCTGAATGCTGGAAATCCTATGTTTTTTTATATCTAGTTCTTTGTAGATATTTGTTTGCGATTTGCATGATAACACCGGCAACTTCCTCTTGAATTAGCTGGAAACACAAAGTTCTGCTTTAAACACCTTCTTCTTCTTCTTCTTCTTCAGGGACTGAAATACTCTTTCCAAACACACGACCGCCTGTGTTTCGTCATGGAGTATGCAAACGGTGGTGAGGTAAGCCAGTTTAAAAACATCATGAATGCACGCCTTGCGGTGGCTTGATTTTAATGATCTTTAAAAAAATGTAGCCCCTTTTCTTTTGCACTAAGTGTTGTTTGTTGTCAATCTGCAGCTTTTTTTCCATCTGTCAAGAGACCGGGTGTTCTCAGAAGAGCGAGCTCGGTTCTACGGTGCAGAGATAGTGTCGGCACTGGACTACCTGCATGCTGAGAGAAACGTGGTTTATCGAGATTTAAAGGTAGGCAGGGAAACGTGTGCTCGCCTTCGCCCAATGTGGCCTCTCTTGCTCTTCTCTGCCTTTTTCTCCCTTTTTTTTCTTCATTCCTTCCTCCTCCGCCTGGATATAAATAGGGTTTATCTTCATCTTGAGCAGTGGCGGTGGCCAAGCCTTATTGATCTGCTTCTTCCAGACCTCACTGCAGCTGGAGACGAGCTCGGTCCACACACTGCTGCAGACGGACAGAAATAACTACCGGGGCTCTTTGAACGAATGTGCGACCGCCTCTGGTTGTAGCACACACTCGGTGCCCAGCGGGTGAAACCTGTGCACTTTGTTTGTAATTGATATCGCTTTGTAAGTTTAAGCTCAGTAAAAGAGCTGTTCTTAGCCGAGAGAAAAATATCCATCATTTCACAGTGAAGATGTTGGAAGGTCTCAGCCTCTGGTTCTGTGTTTGAGCTGAAAGAATTAACAGAATTCTGTAAGGATGACCTCAGCCGTGCATCTTCCAGATTGATGGGCACGGTTTTGTATAGGAGGGTTATCAGTGCTGCAGTGGGCATCTGTAGCCGTGCTACTTCCAGCTGATAAAACTGTACCAGCCAGGTCAGCACAGCGTGCATTCCCTCCCTCCTTCCCTCCCTTGGGTTTTACGAGGCAGGCTCCCAGCCTGCGAGGGTTCTCCTGAAAATGCCAGGATAGCAGGATTGGAGGATGTGCTGACTCTGGCTGGGCGCTGCTGGCCACGTGTGAGCTACAGCTGTCAGGTGACTTGAAGTGAGAGAGGATGGGGAGAACGAACAACCTCAAGTCGTGTCTCTAAGTGATGCTTGTCTTTATGGCCCCATTTTTATTTTCTTATCAAGTAGATTTTCTTTTATATGTCGGCACGTGTTTAATATGTAGAGTAAGATGTAGAGTTTGCAGCTTTCAACTAGAACAATGATGGTTGATCTGCTTCTATGAGAAGTGTTTACTGTATTTTTTATTTGCAGGTATCTTTAAATAAAAGCAGTTAAATAAGTGTGTGCAGATCACATTTATTTAATGAGAAATAGAGTGACACAGTGACTCAGTTGGTCGAGATGCTGTTTCTCAGCAAGAAGGTTGCCAGAGCAAATCCTGACCCCAGGAACTTTCTGGGTAGAGTTTGCATGTTCTCTCTGTGCGTGCGTGGGTTTTCTCCGGGTACTCCAGTTTCCTCCCACAGACCAAAACCATGACTGTTAGACTAACTGGCAACTCTAAAATTGTCCTTCGATGTGAGTGAGAGAGTGAATGGTTGTTTGTCTCTGTGTCCCTGTGATGGACATGTCCAGGGTGTACCCCACCCCTTGCACAGTGACCCCTGTGACCCTGAAAGGAAAGAAGCGGGTTAAGAGGATGGATGGATGGATGGATGGATGGATGGATGGATGGATGGATGGATGGAAAACAAATACAAATTAAGTTGAAAATTACTTTGTTCATTAGTTTTATTTCTCCAAATAAGTTGGTTAATACTAAAATCATTAAATGTTTTTGTTTTTATCATTTTTTATTATGTTATGTATATTATTATGTATATTAATGTTTTGGTTTTTATTAATGTACTTGGTAACACTTCATAACTACACTTTATTTAGCTTCAATCATTAACAATATCATAATAATAAGGTTATATAAGAAGGTTATTTAACCTTAAAAACATCATTAAGGATGATTCATACTTAATTTATATTTATTAAATTTATTTATGCTTTACCCATAAAGGCTAATTACTTTTAAAACCAACATACTCTTTGTTTATTCATGCTTAAAAACTCGTGAATTAATATTCTATATACTGTGTTTGTTTATGTATGTAAATGCTCATATAAATCTACTTTCACACCATGGGTTAGACATTTATTATTGATTATCTACAAATTCTGCAGTGCAGCAACAAATTGGACAGTTGCTAGTAGTCTTATTGTGAGCCCTTCTAAAGTGAAAWCTATTTATTCTTAATTATTTGTTAATGTTAAAACACTGAAGGGCCACAAGTTCCTTTTCACCTGTGGAAATCAGACCGAAATCATTATCAATTCAAAGATTCTCTAACGATTAACACGTGTAACAATGAGTATGTTGGTTTCGGAAGTAATTAGCCTTTATGGGTAAAGCATTAATGTTAATTTATAGCCTATCAAGTATGAGTCATTCTTTTTGTTTTCAAGGTTAACTAATCATTTACTAAGGATTAATTAATGCTAATTAAGGAATAGTTATTGTGTAATTATTGTGTAACTTTGATCACACCTCACAAAAAATATGGACTATAATATAAATCTTTTCTTTCGTAATTCCTCTGCTCAGCTGGAAAACCTTATGCTGGACAAAGATGGACACATAAAGATCACAGATTTTGGTCTGTGTAAGGAGGGCATCAAAGACGGTGCCACCATGAAAACTTTCTGTGGGACACCAGAGTACCTTGCACCTGAGGTAAACACAACTTTTTTTATTTTGGGGGGGCTGAAATATTAAAATTTTTATCAGCAAAAGACACCAAACATTTTAGTTTTATGAAATTGTACAACTTAAATCGCCTTAAAGTTTAGTTGAAACACCTTTCAGAGCCGCTTGGTGTCCATTAAAGTGCCTGACATGCTTSTCCTTCAGATACAAAAAGTCAAAGAAAACTTTGTTCTATTTAAGAACCTTGGCATACCACACATTATTTTACCCATTTGGACACATAACTGACCTMTTTTCTTTTGAACTTGTCTTGGGAAAAGARAAAGGGAAACAGGAAGTGACATCAAAGGGGAACTCCTTTAAGAAAAAGAACTCACTGGTCTATGTTTATTGAAACATTATGATTTGAACTCACTTTTTTTTTAGTTTCTGTCTGATAGCGRCTCAATATAATCTAGAATATCAGATTCCTCTCCGCAGTCTGGRCTGTTGAGCATTTTAGCTTAGCTCTGTTTTGATGCAGATTTGACATCACTTCCTGTTACTTCACATGCAAATATCTCAACAACTGTTCATCTCAGCAGCATGAAAATTATTTTATAGTACATCCTCAGTGTTATCRTTCCAAAAWTGCATTTTTATTCAAAAGTTTTGATGTCACAGGCACTTTAAACCAGTGGTTCCCAAAGCTGGGGTCGGGACCCACAGTGGGGTCCTGAAACATCAAGGTGCGGTCCTGAAAATATTTTTTGAATTAGTTACACACACACAAAAAAAAGACAACTAAGAACATTATTGTTCCTTTTGTTTTTACAAAATAATAAGATTAGTGTACTTAAAAAGGACAAAAATAGCATAATAAATAATGTTATATGCTCTTGTTTATTTGGTGTGAAAACAATGCTTATCAACCAACAACAACTGGGGGGCACAGGTCTTTTGTGGGTCAAAAGCTGAAAAGTTTGGGAACCACCGCATTAAACTGTTGTATGGTGTTTGCTGCTGCAGAGGGTTTTAACACATCTGTTCAAAATATTTCATGTGTGCTCAGCTGGACCGAGATCATAAGAAGGTTGTGTACAAGTCACATAACTTTTACACATATCAAAACTTTCAGTTACCCTTCCAAGTCATCTTTTAGAGAAAAAAAAATCATTAATTACATTTAATAAGGTAAACCAAAACGGTGACTGCTAGGCTTTTGTGGACCCCAAACAAAAACATGGAGTGTGTTGTTGGACCCCAGTGGATGGGAAGTGTTTTGAAGGAAGGAGCAGCTGTCTCAGAATGCCTTTCTAATCTCCAGCTGAAGTTAATGAGTGTGCCCAGGGCAGGGCAGCTTGCTCCTATGCTCTCTGTGGAGGGGTGTGGCTGCGTGCAGGTATGACAAGTGTTCTCCGGCCCGTTGTCGTAAAAATGCTTCACAGGGGGTGGGGGC